TAAACAATTAACAAAAGTTTATTGATAAAATGTACAAAATTACATGAAAACCTTTTTTCGTGTCATTTGTGGAACCGTTATAGACAAAAATTACTCAATAGAACCATCGTCTGCCGCAATTACCGCCTCGTGGGTCTGAAGCGATTGCACGCTCTCTGCAAAGCCGGGCTTGTCCATATTGAAGAATGTTGTTTCAATAGCGGCCTGGAGAGATGCCACATTAGGATGTCTCGACTTGAGAGGTCACCATGTCCGGATACAGACAATAGGACTAAGGGAATCTGTGAATGTGGATTGAAAAAAAGTATGCAAAAATCAAGATTCGAGGTTATAGCACGCAGCGTTCTTGTCGTAGTAGTCATATGCTTTATTCATGCAGTTACACCTCTGAGCTCGAAAGATGTTGAAAACTTGCGACTTATATAGGGTACGTAAAACTTCAAACTCAGTTTTCTCGCGAATATTTGAGAGAGTCGCATAGAGTGGCTTTATCATGCATTAGTAGGGGTATGACATTGTAACATATTTTAAGTTTGACGAAATCCAAGAGGACGATGTCTGGTATTCCCCTTGTAAGTGGGAAATATAAGCAGATCCTATTTGGTTATTTTTAACGTTTTCCGAAAGATTTTTCTGCTTTGCATTTTACACTACATTTGAACAATAGTACGAAACATTTTAACCTTCGCAAAGAAAGCTAGGGGGTCATTCGTGGTCCTAGCAAAATGTTTATATTTATTATAATAATACTGTTACGTCCTGGAAGAGGATGCACGTAACAGATACTGCATACTCGCGCATTCGTGAGGCTCAAACGTATTTACAGGTCTGCAAATCAGATTTGGAAGGGTCTATTTACTCCGTTACAAAACGTACATTTGATGGTCCTTTATTTAGATCAAAGAGCTTAATCTTTTTACCTGGGATAGGATCATATGAGTGTTGAAAGGGGATTCAATTACTTCTGAATGAAGTAATTGAAAGGAAATTAATGAATAAATGTATCAGACGTCGTTAAATTCGGTCAATTTTTGCTGAGCGGCAACACTTGAATGCGCCGATATATCTTCATGGTGAAACAACACTTTTTTTTTGGCCGGGACGTTTTCCCACTTTGACTTCTCCAAGAATGCTCTTCAAAAGTAGTAGTATTGACTAATAACGAGTTTTCCTTTCTCAAGGTAGTCGATTAGATGAATTCCTTCCGCATCCCAAAAAACTGATGCCATCACCTTTGTAGCTGATGGTACGGTCTTCGCCTTTTTCAGAGTTATTTTATCTCATTTAATCCATTGTTTGAATTGCGTTTTTGATTCAGGTATGTAATGGTGAATCCAAGTTTCATCCGTGGTCACAAAACACTGCATGAAATTCGTTGGATTTTTCTTAAAAACCTCCAAACGGACTGATGTTTGCATACGAACTCGCGTTTGCTCTGCAGTGAGCAAACGCGGCACTCATCTTGCGGAAAGTCGGTCTTCAAACATGGGTATTTATTGATTTGTTTTCGTATATGTAAATAAATAAATAAATAAATAAATATATATATATATATAATAAATATATATATATATATAATATATATATTATATATATATA